TGTAATAAATAAATAAATCACACAATAAATCTTTTCAACTTACAATCGTTTTGTTTTTAGATCAAAAATTCAAAATTTATATGGGGGGCGAAATTCCTAAAGGGGGGCGATATTCCTAGGAGATTCGCCCCCAGGGGGGCGATATTCCTAGGAGATTCGCCCCGGGGGGCGAATATCCTAGGAATATCGCCCCCCTTTTGAGAGGGGGGGCGAATCTCCTGGGGGGGGGCGAATCTCCTGTGACACCGGAATTCCAGCCGGATTTGAAATCCGGTGCACCCCTAGTCAGAGTACTTTTGCACTTTAGACCTCAAAGTGGTTATTTACAAGTTCGAATGTCAGATAAACATCGTCAGAAAAGGGCGATGATAATACCTTTTGGACTCTCTGAGTTCAATAGAATACCTTTTGGACTCAGCTGAGTTCAATAGAATACCTTTCGGACCGGCCAATGCTCCAGCAACATTTCAGAGATTGATGTAACACTGTTGCAAAGGTTTGAAATAAAAAATGTGTGCTTTACATTGATGATGTTATCGTGTTTGTAGTTTTGAGGAGATGCTAGAGAGGTTAGAGGAAGTGCTAGCTCACCTGAGCAGCATTCACCCTCTTTCCAACCAAAGTTGAAGTTTCTCGTTCATGTATTTTCTGCTAAGGGCATTGAAACGGATCTAGACAACATAGACTCATTGCAACATTAGTTGGCACACCCACCGAAGAATTCTAGAATGTGCAAACTTTTCTGGACTTTGCGGGATATTTCCGATCATACCTTTATCAATTCTCAAAGCTAACAGATTCTTTCCGGAAATAGGTTACAGAAAGCAATTTCCATCAAGAAAGGAAACACCGGATGTCTGCACCATTCAGTTGGATAACAGATTGCCAAGACGCCTTTGAAAACATTATTTCCAAACGGGCCTCGCCTCCAATTTTTAGGCTATCTTAATTTCGAGATTCCGTTCATCCTTCATACAGATGCAACTGCATGGGCATGGCCTCGGTGCAGCATTGTACCAAATGCAAGAGGGAAATGTTAGGGTTATTGCTTACGGTAGTAGGGCTTAAAATTCAACAGAAGGAACTACTGGGCAAACAGAAGAGAATTTCTGGCACTCGAAAATTTCCGAGGTTATCTGTATGGGATGAAATGTTATGTGGTGACCAATAGTAGAGACTGAGTTTAAGCTTCGCGTTATACGTCAAACGGCAAATGCCTGCAGGCAATTAAGATCAAGACGGATTAGATCAAGTGAAAGTGACAGAAAGAATTAGAGCAGTTTGCAGTTGTTTTGCGTGCTCCAGCCCGATTTCCGGTCCTGAAAGGCAAACTGCTCCAGCCCGACTTGCAGGCAAACAGTGCGCGCAAAGCAGACTGGTCATTTCGCATTGTTTAACTGCCCCACACTCACCCCCACACTCAATTAAGTAACCGGGAAGACTCGCATGCAGATGTTGCGAAGCAACATCTGTGAGTCAAATATTGGCTTTTTTCAAAAAAAGTTGCGTACAGGAAAGGGCATGGCGCGACAGTTGTGTGACGTTCCTTAAGGAATGGAACTTAATTTTTTTCTATTCAAACCTCATTGAATATAGACAAGACTAATCATGACAAGACTAATCTAATCTTAAGACTTGTCTAGTCTTAAGACTTGTCTAATCTTAAGACAAGACTAATCATGCAAGGGTGTCAGTTGCAACGATCCACGAACGGGTTGAAAACACCCACCCTCCCATCCGTTTCCTACCTGTTGCCTTGTTGGCACTTAATGATACTACTCTCCGGGCGAGTTCGTCAGGAGGGGATTCCCATACCTTAATGCTAGTATTAAAGGCAGCAGGAGAGAGACTGTACTAGTAAATCGGGGGGCAGAACTGGAGCGTAAACAATTGATGGTTCATATGCATTTCCAATACCAGGTATTTAGGCCACGTGGGTTCACGTAGGGTTATAAATTGACTTATGTGCGCTCCTCAGTATGTTAAATTGAGTTCTCTCCAAAGTGGAATGCCATCCCATTCCCAGCTTCACTACGTTTTTCTCTGTGCAGCAATGATTGTTTTCAAATCTGGCAGTTGCCTTTTCAACTCGCTGAATTTTCTTCTGCAAGTAAACACGCCGGTGGGTAGAGAACCATATCGTTGTAATTTTATAGCTTGGATTTTGCTAGACTTTCTGCTATTTGTTTCTTGGTGTTTTGCGGAGTCATATTCTTCACTCTACGCAGAGTGTTAAGGACGCTGTATAGTTTGCATTTCCAATCTCGATAATTGCGTTTGGATGGATGATATAGGGCAATTCCATTTTGTCGGCGGGATATTAATTAACAATTATACACCGAAGTGGTGACTAGTGCAAGGATATTCATCGAGATCAGGCATGCTCATTTCTTGGATCTAATATTCGCTTCAGTCGGTCGAACTTAGCCGTTTTAAACTAATTATTTGTAAAAGCCTCAAACTTAACAGTAATCAAATTGCTTAGTGTTCATGCTTGAGCTGAAGTTCAGACCGCGTCGCAGAACTTAAATTCTCTAATAACTCGTCTGTGTAACGGATCGATCATGAGTGAGGATGCATGAGCTATCTGTGTGAAGGCAGATAATGCGCCTGGATGGATATAAGCTCTGCTGAGACAGCTGAAAGACTTGAAAGAAATTGTGGCCAAGATCTGCGCACTGCTGTAAAAATGAGGTCTCTGGACAGCAAAACATCAGGGTTTTGGTGAATTTTGTTACTGGTTTTAACAAATAGAGCAATCCGTGCGTCGCAGTTGAATGTTGAATTCTGTCGACAACGCATTTTGGATAAAAAATGCACACAGACTTAATGAAGTTGAGTAACTCCATTTAATCAAGGTCAACTTCGAAGCACAAACTACCTTTTAGGTAGATTGAGGACATATACGTATACTGCATGACATTAATCAAACAGTATTAAAACAGTTAATAAATATATTTATGAAATAAATGTGAGTAATAACGCATGCTTGAACATTGAAATGTAATGACTAATGTATTTTAATTCGAGTTTTAATAAAAAAAATCACAGACCCCCCCCCTCCCAAAAAAAAAACCAAAAAAAACCCAAGTCCCAACCTTTTTAGGTTACTGAGGAGTTCTAAAAAAATCAGTAATATATTATAGAAATAATATATAAATAACTATAAATATATATCCAGTCTTATATACAGTAGTTTTAAGTATATGTCACTCGGTATACATTGCATGATAAGTTCTCAAAACGTAAAAATAGGTCTCTGTAGAGTGGTATATATAGCCAAGATCGTTTTTTATATCTAAGAGGCTGTTCATATGCGCATGCGCCTGGTTTGCCGGGAAGCTCACCTGAGTGGGATGGTTTATCTCTGTGTTCATATGATGACTGTTTTTATCCCATCTAATATCCTGCATCGCTGGGACGAAATTATAAACATGCCGTCTTTGAAACATTTTTGTTGTAATTAAACAAATATATTTGCACCTTGTGGCTTGGAGGGAACCCAATTAGATGAATAAAGACCACAAAGATACTCGGAATGACGTTAGACGACAACATGAAATGAAAAGATCTATAGGGAAGTTATGCAAAGGAAGTTAAATCTCCTAAAGTCGATGCGTTTTCTTCCATGAGACATGCATGCTGAAGGACTTTTATTGGAAAGTCGTCTATCATTGTAATCTATAGTATCGAGTTATGGGGAATAACTGTAACACACAATTTAAAACTCTGGAGAGAATGCATGTGACGGCGGCCAGGATAGCCAGTACGGATTAAAGTGGGATTCACCGATGGAGGACGTCGTTAGGGAGACAATTTAGAAAACACTTGCAGAAAAATATAAAACTATTAATTAATTGACTATAACTTTAGGATATAGGTATTTTTATGGAATGGTGTCAAATGGCCTTTCTGACACCATTATATTTCTAAGAATAACAACAAACGGCTACATGACGGGCACAAAATGAAGATTTTTAGATCAGAAATAGATTTTCAATCAAAGTCAAGATAAGTAACAGAGTAGCAATTTTATGGAACAGTATACCAGAAAGTGTTAAGGCTGAAAGAAATCAATTAAGAAACATCTAAAGACGTATCTATTTTGAACAACAAGGAACCAAATTACGTATATTTGAAGTAGATATTGAGAAAGTTATATTGTTTCAAATGTCCATATATAAACAGGTTAACTGTTAAATTTGAGGAATTAGCTAAAATAGTTACTTATATATCAGGATACAAGACCAGATCAGCATTTTGCTGCGGTATAATTCTGTATATTGTATACAACTAGCTCCATCATGTTTTAAATAAATGTTATATGAATGAATGAATGTATTACGAAATTAATACTGTCTGTTTAGGTCAATTAATGTTTAATATTTTTTTGTTTGAGTTTTCCAACTTAGCAACTACAGTTGCTATGCCGTTAAATACTATTTTTAAGGTCAAAATCAGCAAAAGGTCCATCCTGGTCAGGTGGGATAAAGGATTTTTCTGACATGCATGTATCACGCAAAGCGTCGTAAGAAACTAAATTTGCTTCCAATATCTTATTGGCTGCAAATAAACGATCTGCTCTTCATTTCAAGTGTGTTCAAGATCGTTATGACCTAAATGTCTTTTCTTTTGTCACTTTCTCTTCGGAATCTCAAAACTTACCTAACCTTTACACCATTTCTCTCTTTAGGACCACTTTTTTCAACCGGATTGTTTTCCTTTGGAACAATCTTCCTCTTTGAAACACAATCTTCCTGCTAACAATTTTTTCAAACTTGAATCGACCTTTGATTAAAATAGATTGCGAACGTTCACTGAAAGTGTCGTTCTTACAGCCCAAGTCGTTGTTCTCGAGGATTGTGTTCATTTCCTTTTCCAGAACTGTTGCAAGTGGTTTCCAACGATGGCATTTTCTTTGTATACAATGGAATGGAATTGAAGGAACAGTCACATACTTTTATGACGGCTACAGAGCTAAGAGCAAAGTGCAGAACGAGATGTTGAAAACACAACTACCTAAAGGAAAGAATTTTAGCATTGGTTTAAGCGATGAAATAGGGACGTTGACACAGCTGAATATTTGGGATTATGAAATAGCAGCGAGTAATGTTATAACTATGTCATCAGGAGGATTCAATGTACATGGAAGTGTGCTGTCTTGGAACAGCTTGGCGAAATATGCCCACCGTGCAAGCATCAATTGGAATACTGAGATCTATCTGCCAGGTAAGGCGATGTAATGGATTCTTTGGAGTCGTGTTGCAGAACAAACTGGAAAACTTTGTAATATCACAACATTTCCTTGAATGTGTTTCTGTTTGCAGTTTGCCCATACAAGTGCACATTGTTGCTGGCCTGGGTTTTGCTTCTCAAGAAGAAGGAATAACCAAGAACCTGCATGCCTATAGTGTTTCCCAAGTTGATTGTTTTGCGGGAACAACGTTTTCCGGTTTCTTCATGTTTGGAAAACATGGCTATAAGAAACATTTTTCCTGGTTTGTCCATTTTCGGGAAACCTAGCTAGGTACCACAACGATCATAATTTTCTCATTCTGTTATCAAGGTTTTACAGTGTTGGCAAGGAGAACTAAGTGGTGCAATGATCTATACCCTAGCGCGCCGTGTACAGGCGAACTTCTTGCAAGACTTGGTGGTCACCCTCCACGAATGAATATGAAATGGCGATGTTATTGTCCATCCTCACTGCTGGGCGAGAAATTCACTTATGATTTTTCTACAGAAAATCCTTCCTACTATAATGACCACATCTCTCTTATTGCTCTTAACTAACTGTTTAGAGACGGGAATTACTCAATTGTTATAAAAATTGCAATTGTAAATTATGCATATATAGTTGAATGGGTTTAACTAAGCACTATTATGATTCAGATAGTGCCGGGTTAAAGTGCAGTTATCAGAGTGAGAAAATAATGCGAACTTTTTTCATTATAATGTCATCTACTCGAACACTAAGAATAAATAGTAACATTGAGATACGTCGAATTAAATATTACTAAGTGAATTGTATTATATGTTGCATTATACATTTACAATGCCACATTGTGCAAAACCCAATCATGATGTTAACAAGTTTGCTGTGAATCAAAGCCTTCCGTTTCAATGTGTTGTGTACCATTTTATGCAAAAAGTTATGAAATTTAATTTTTATTGAAAAAATTATAAATGAAGAAAACCTAGCCAAGCTAGGGCCCGAGTCCTGCATGGAAATAACTCGTCTACTCTGATATCTGTGTGAATGAGGGTCCAGTAGACAGATAATGCGTTTGGATGGATGATATAGGCCAAATGGATTAACTAGGTCAATTCCATTTAAGCCCCGTTTACACGAGCAAATTTTCTTTGACAAATTTCATATGACAAATGCATTTGATCAAAAGCTAGCATGCTAGCTTTTGTTCAAATGCATTTGTCACAATAAATTTGTCACAAATGCATCATCCACACGAGCAAAATATCTTTGACATATGAAATTTGTCAAATAAAGTTTGCTCGTGTAAACGGGGCTTTAGTCGGCGGGATATTGGCAATTATTCACTGAAGTGAACGTAACTAGAGCCCCGTTTAAATGAGACCGGAACGAAGTCAAACCGGGACTATTTCATTTCGGTCATAGTATTATTTATAAGATGTTTATATGAGACGGAGACAAAAATAACTCAGACCGGTCTCAAGTCATCCCACCTGCCAGACCGAGCCGACTGACTTCAGACCTTGACATTGGAACAACATAAGGTAACAAAAGCCATCTAAAAGAGAAAATTGCCTGACAAGGAGAATAAATTGAAAATTTTGTGATTTTCGTACCGGTCTTATGTAAACAATTGACAATTTCAATTTTCATATTATACATTTATTAATTCATGAGTAATTTCATGTAAATTTAGAGGTGAAGTGAGCTGATTTTCAGGTAAATTATAAGAGCAATATTTTTGGGGTTTTCTGAGTCTACATATATAGTCATTTTTTTCGGAGGGCACTGCCCTAGAACACCCCTAGTAGATTTGCCCCCCATCCATTATGCTAATATACATTCTTTCGAAAGAAACACTAGCTGCTTGAAATGGCGACGCTAGAGGTCATGCTGGTCATGATAGGCTGGAATAATATTTTTTTTAATTTTCCTCTAATCAGGCAATTTATTTGTGCTCTCTTGGCATGAATTTTCGGACTTCTAAAATTAAACAATTTCCGGAATAACATGGCGCGAAACTGCCAGGATGTGGTGGTGGAGGTTGGGAGGGGGGTGGTGTGACATCCCCAGTCTTTATTAGACTGATCTCGTTGGGTATATCCATACAGTTTCGTCAGGCAAATTTTGAAAAAAAAATTATTTATATTCAATGAAAAATGGGTGAGCATGAAAACTTCGAAAAGCGACTGGAAACGGGTTAACAATAACTGCACAACATGAAGTACTTCCTCTTATAACTTAACTTTCAGTTTCGAATTTCGTCCGACGGACACGACAGTTCGGCCACGTTGATTCGGCGACGGGCACGCCTTCGGCCACGCCCTTCTGGTCGGACAAAACAAGCTCCCCCCCCCCCCCCCCCCCCCCCCGCCGTAATACTGAAGTCTCACCCCTGCTCAGAACGTGCGGGTCTTAAACCATGACCACTGCATGAACTTCCCTCAGCTTCGCCATTGCCTTGAATGTACTCATGAAATACCACACTGAATTTCAAACACTGCTTCCAGGTAACGCAAAACGTAATAGTTTAAACATCAGGTAATTTGTCCCCCTCAATAACAATATCTTCGATGCGTCCCGGAAATTTATCTACTACCTGCCGAGCAAGGTGCTAGGTGCATGTATGCTGATGATGAAGAACGTGTACAGGGTTATGATTAGGTTGTTATATCAACGTGTTATAAAAAATACGTGCTCGTGTATTGTCAAATTAGTGTTTCCACAAAACAATCATATATAGAGAACAATTTTGTCATGGAAATATATAAAGGAACTAAATGTTTGTGCTTCAAAGCGACTTTTTGTAAAGTACGGAAGCCGTGAAGGGACTTCAGACTTCAGACTTCAAACTTCAGACTTCAGACTTCAGACTTCAAACATTGGTTCCGAGCTTCGCTAATAGCCAACATTGTTTCTGCGAAGCTGGCTAATATTTAAGGCACTTATGCAGTCAAAGCTGTTCAAACTAAAGTTAAAAATGGTCAGAATGATTTAGATTGTAAATGCAGACTGTTCAGTGGAATGTGTCAGTGAGTTCTGATAGTTCTTTGCAGGTTTAAAGGCAGAACGATAAAACATATAATACTATTGTTTGTAGAAACACCACATAAATTTATTACTGCAGTAAATTTATTAACTTTATTCTGTAAATTTATCAAGTTAAGTATAACACGCGCTCAAAACTAATGAGTAATGCGTATAATATACCACTTGAGGTTATGACTAAATTCAAAATTTTTATTTTTTGACTGAACGCTTCTCAATCGGCAAACAAACTTAAAAAGTATGTTTAGTGTTTTATCTGTAAAATAATGCTAAATTGAAGAGATTTTAGGCTACGCCAAGGAGAAAATTACGTCTGAAGTTCAGTAAGTTTTGCTTATATTGCTCGGCTTAAATATGGCGTCAATTTTAAAGCATCATTGATAATTGTATTTTAATTGACAATTTTTAACTATGATTTTATGTTTCTCAACCGGCAGATGCATTTAAAAAGGTAGCTAACTAGAATAAAGCAAAAACAAAGTGATTCTAAGAGGAGGTACGCAAAAGCAATGTTGGCTATTAGCGAAGCTCGGAACAGATGTTTGACAATCAGACTTCAGACTTCGGACTTCAGACTTCATGCAGACTTCAGACTTCAGACTTCAAACTTCAGACTTCAAACTTCAGACTTCAAACATTGGTTCCGAGCTTCGCTGCATGGTAGCCAACATTGCTTTTGCGTTCCTCCTCTTAGAATCACTTTGTTTTTGCCTTATTCTAGTTAGTTTATGTAGTTAGCTACCTTTTTAAATGCATCTGCCGGTTGACAAACATAAAATCATAGTTAAAAATTGCAATTAAAATACATTATCAATGATGCTTTAAAATTGACGCCATATTTAAGCCGAGCAATATAAGCAAAACTTACTGAATTCAGACATAATTTTCTCTT